ATTTTAGTAGTCCTTATCCAGTTCTAGACAGAAAAAAAAAATAAACGTGCATTAATAATTTAGTCAAGATTAAGTATTATAAGTTTATTTCACCACCTTCCTTTATTTTTAATCAGATATCTTTAAAACAAATATGGCTGAAGATAGTGTTATTCTCGATTATGATGATGAAGAGAATGAACCCACTGTTGATGCAGCTGGTGGAGATGGACCAGTTAAAAAAGATGTAAAAGGAACATACGTGTCGATTCACAGTTCTGGTTTCAGAGATTTTCTTCTCAAGCCAGAGCTTCTTAGAGCTATTGTGGATTGTGGATTTGAACATCCATCAGAAGGTAGATCTATTCTAGACTTTGCATAAATTTTAGATTATCTTAAGGTATTAGATAGGGAGGAGAAATTAAAAATTATTCTTTGAAAAAACAATTTTTCGTTAGTACATCATTAAAATACTTAGAAAGAACTTTCCAATGGTGTTTAAATTATGACTGTATGTTTAATAGTTAGAAAGTTATGATTTTTTTGTGTTTTGGCTTAACATTGGTTGACATGGAATAGGGATGTTACAATATCTGGTGACAAGCCCCTTTTATTAAGTCAAAAAACTGTTTCGATTTTTTTTTACATACTTTAAAGGTGTAATTTTTAAACCTATTAATTGAATACTTCTCTTTAAAAGAGTTATAGTTTTTGATTGACCAATAAAAATGGCTTTTGGGAATGAAATTACGCTTTCCCACGTGGAGTAGGTTTCGTTTTATTAGACTTAAAGGTTCGATTTCCCTTGTGTATAGTTTAAAAAGCTCAACATTCCCACGCCTTTTGACTCCCGTATTGTAGAGCATTTTTCTGGCTAAATTTCAGTGCTTTACTTTTCACATAATACTGTGCACTTTGGATGCTATTAATTTTTAATATTTAGCAGTTGAATCCAATGCTGGAGGCCATTGTTAACCTTTGTAATTTTAGCCATCATGTTTACATGCCAAGATAATAGTGATTGGTCAGATTGGTCATGTGACATCAAATAATTTTCTGATAGGTTGAATTATTATAGCAGTGTAAACAGACTGAAATGATGTCAAAATGGCTGACATTGATTTATTTCTGCAGTTACACATTTTGAAATAGTAGATTTAGATCTAACGAGTATATAATATGCAGCTTAGTGTTCAGATATTTTAATAACTATAAACTTTCATATTCAACACATTCAAATCTCCTCACATCGTGCCCATTGGTTGCTATGATGCCTTTTACATTTCTTGTAGATCTAGACCTGATAATTTATTTCATCAATATTCACATTTTAAACAACTGAAGTTCATAAATATAAATGAAATCAGAATTGTGAGCTAGAAATTTACTACGAATACTAGATCTATTAAATTTCTTATTTAATAAGTAGATATGTCTACGAAACTCAATTCCAACTTTTTAACTTTTGACCTTGGGGGGTGTGTCTTGTCGGCTGAGCCAGCGGCAAGCTCTCACTTCACTTTCTCCATGTTAACCAATGTTAAGTCAAAACGTCACAAAAATCATAACTTTCTTAAAGGGAAACTCCGATAGTTTTTCAAATTTGAGTTATTGACATATTTAAATTCTGCGTAAAAAGTTGTAATAGTAGACATTATATCATTTTTTATTTAAATGCTTTGAAAATTTTATATTTAATAAATTAGTCAATAAATTCTTGACATCTAAAAAAAAAACGGGATTCCTTGAGATTTTGTTTTAAGTTATTTCATGCATCGCTTCCCTAAACAATACTGAAAGAGAAACTTGATTTAACCAATCATATCGCTTCATTCTTACAGTAGCTGTTAAGCTTTTAGGTTTAGTGACGGCCTAGTCCAGAGCTATGATAGTTATATATATATAAACATGTATAGATAGATCCAAAAGCATTAGGATAACCAACTCCAGAAAAAAAGTAACATTTTCATCTAAGCCTCTCCCTGTCCCAAGAAGTAAATAGATCGTGTGTCTGAATGATTCGAACAAGCTGGTCAGTGTAAGGCTAGTCGAGACTACGTGTAGTCTGTCATGACAAGAAAACCAAGCGATAGTGTGTGTTGAGTGGTCTGGCGAGAAAATACACACTGTGTGATTAGTCAAGCATGTAAATCTACTTTTAATACGCATTTTTTCTTTGCTTACAAGGTCCTAGATCTAACTGCATAGACAAAGTTTCCCTTTAATGTTAAACATAGTCATAATTTATACACCATAAGAAAGTTCTTTCAAAGTATTTTAATGATGTACTAACGAAAGTTTTTTCAAAGATAAATTTTATTTTCACCTCCCTAGAATCCCTAGAATATGGATACATTTTATATTGAGGAACATTTTTTTCATGTTGACTTTAAAAAAAAGTATTTTCTTACTTTTTTAAAACTTGAAAGTATAAGTATTTTTATTTTTACTGATACTCATTTCAGGTTACGTTTTAGAACTTGATATTTTTTTTTTGTGCTAATAGAATATATATCTGGCCATATTTCTGCCAAGTTTGATCATTATACTATGCTCACTTTAATTGTTATTGATTATAATGTTGATGCATAAATTTGCACTGCTCCCTATGGGATTTTTAATTTTTTTGAAAACTAAACTATTTTAGGAATAAAATCTTGCATAGGCTAGTAGATATAGCAATTATGTATAGGTCTAAATAGATTTTAAAGATTTTTTTTTGGTCGCTTCTATTTTTTTAAATTTTAAAGCGCATTTGAAAAAAATTGTTTCAGGCGATTTTGACTTTTTAAATATTTTGTTAATTTCTTCCATCACAACGCCGCCATTTTGTCCACACTCTGACATTTCTTGTAGCTCTAGACCCGATAATTTATTTTATCAATTTTTTACATTCTAAACAAGTGAAGTTCATAATTATAAATGAAATCAGATTTGAGCTAGAAATTTACTTATAATACTAGATGTACTATTAAATTTCTTATTTAATAAGTAGATCTATCGTCTATGGAACTCAATTCCAACTTTTTAACTTTTTGAGCGGGGGGGGGGGGGGGTGTCTCGCCGGCTGAGCCAGCCAGACGCTCTCATCTTTGTTGTTCCATGTCAACCATTGTTAGGTCAAAACGCCACCAAAAAAATCATAACTTTCTAACTGTTTAACTTACATTCATAATTTATACACCATTGGAAAGTTCTTTCAAAGTATTTTAATATACTAACGAAAAATTGTTTTTTCAAACATAATTTTTTTATTTCACATCCCTACAGATTACAAATATGTAATTTGATCTTTGAGATAAATAGTTTTTAAAATATATATTTTTAAGCTTTATTTATCATATATTGTCCTTGGAAATTACGCCATTTTGGTTTTAAGGCTTAATACTACAATCTTCCTTGAATTACTTGTCAACCTTTTTCTGTTGCTGTTTTGTCTTTCTAACAGCTATATTAAAATTCATTTAAAATGATAGCATAAGAACAAAAAACTCTTTAAAAATAGTAATTGAAAAAAAAAAAATTCGTCAATTTATTTACATTTTTTTAGACCTTCATTTCGTAAAAACACTTAAAAATTCATAAGTTGACAGCATAAGAACAAAAATCTCTTTAAAAAAAGTTATTGAAAGGGATAAGGGAGATAAGATATGCTTAAAAACAACAAACATGGAGGTCAGTAAAGGTACCTGGGCATCTAAACTATTACCCTTCTTGCAAACTGGGCAAACTTTGCTATAAATAAGTACTTTATTGTCTATTTTAGGATAATATAATATTTATTTTTTATCTACCCTGTGATGAAAACTTGGAATTACCATTTGAAACAAAATGAAAAAAAATGGCGGCAATACTTTTGAGGGTGAATTTTATGTAGCCTAATTTTTTAAAAATATAATCTACATGAGCTAAACTTATGTTGTATTTCTTTCTCAGTTCAACATGAATGCATCCCTCAGGCCATATTATCTATGGATGTTTTGTGTCAGGCCAAGTCTGGCATGGGAAAAACAGCTGTCTTTGTTTTGGCAACTCTTCAACAACTAGAGCCTGTTGATGGACAAGTAAGCAAATTTTTTTTTTATGCTTGGCAACATGATGATAGCCAATATTTAGGCTAGAGTTCTGAACATTTTTGATTGCAGATAAATATTCTGATTGCCTTGCTCATCTTAATTTTAAAGTTGTTTTTAACATGTTTTATTAATATGCAAGCAGATACAATTGTTTTAGATCTTTTAAACTTTTTTTTTTAGGTTTCTGTATTGGTGCTCGCACACACAAGGGAACTTGCTTTTCAAATTAGCAAAGAGTATGAAAGATTCAGCAAATATAACAACAATGTTAAAATTGCTGTGTTTTTTGGAGGGATGAACATTAAAAAGGATGAAGAGGTTTTAAAGAAAAATTGCCCTCACATTGTTGTTGGCACACCTGGACGAATTCTGGCACTCGCCCGCTCCAAGGTTCTTTCATTAAAAAATATCAAGCATTTCATTCTTGATGAGTGTGACAAAATGTTGGCAGAATTAGGTAAGCACAGCAGCTTCCTTTTCTGTTGGTGGCTGTTAGATATAGTTAAGTGTAGCGTAGATGATGTTAATTTACTTAAAATGTTATCTGCCAGTTTAAGTAGCCTTCAACTCACCACAAAACAAACAGTATAGAATGAAATAATCTAGCCTTTAAATAAACACCAATTTATTACAGAAAATAAGGGAAACAGTTGGACATCACTATTTGCTACAAGCAGTCTTATTGTCTGTTAATCGCATTTTACCTATATCCGTTATTTTAAATGTGCTGTCGTGCCACTAAGGAAAAACCCAATTAAACCCTATGCCTCTTACTGTTAAGTCGTTACATTTCTTTTATTTTTACTGGCATTACTGAATCCTTTAAGACAACTATGCTATTTATTTTTCAGACATGCGCAGAGATGTTCAAGAAATTTTTCGCATGACTCCACATGAGAAGCAAGTGATGATGTTCAGTGCCACTTTAAGCAAGGAAATACGTCCAGTTTGCAAGAAGTTCATGCAAGATGTAATTTTCTCCAATCAACATCAACTTACCTGTCACTTTGTCCTTGCTTGACATGTTTATGGAGGCTGTGGAAAAATCCTTAAGTGGCTATTATCTTGAATATTGTACATTCAAGTCAAATCTCCAGTATCGTAAATGATTAAAATCCACACTCCAGCTGAGCCAAAAAAACCCACCAAACTTGAATATCTAAAAAAAAAATGCCTACACTCATAGGCGACCTTCTTTTAGTAATGTCCTATGAGAACAATTCTTCATTGATTGCAAAATAGGGACTGCCTTTTTATTACAAATTGGCAGGATGAGATTCAGAGACTGCCTGCGCTGAACGCAGGTGGCAAGCTGGGTCTTGTAATTATGTAATACACCTTACAACCACACTCAGCTTAGGCTACACTTAACACACACCTGCTGGTCACAGTATTCTCTCAAGATAGTGAGCGCTCATTACCTTGTATCCCAGGCCTGAACGGGAAGACAAGCTCTTTGAAGTGATGAACTGGATGACTTTTGGCTTATGCACGTCTCTGTTGGTGTTTGTACCGACTTTTTGAGCTGGCCGTCGTCAGTCATTGGGATATCAGCTTCCATAAATGGTTGAGAGTTGTTTTGTCTTAGTTAATTTATACATTTTAAATGAAATATTTTTAGAGTAAGGCATTTTTATACTATTTGTTAGTGGTCAGTCTTAAGTATTTGTGATTTACTTTTTATGTGTAAATTATTTAAAGTAATTTTATTACTATGCTGCAAATTACCCTATGATGAAAATTTGGAATTACCATTTGAAAAAGAAATGTAAAGAATCTTTGCGGCAATAAGTTTCTGAGGGCTTCGCAATCATAGTTAAGTATTTTTTGTCTAACAATACATGTTTGTTTTCAGCCTATGGAAGTGTATGTGGATGATGATTCTAAACTTACCTTACATGGCTTACAACAGCATTATGCCAAATTGAAGGATAATGAAAAGAATAGGAAACTTTTTGAACTCCTAGATGTCTTGGAGTTCAATCAGGTACAATTTACATTTCTAAGTAATAGTGATGTTAACCGAAGTTATTTGAAGGGACTTGTGGTCCTTGAGAGATTAGTCATGTTTTATGGTTGACTTAATTTTATTGCTCAGGTAATCATATTTGTGAAGAGCATCCAGCGTTGTATGGCTTTGGCACAGCTATTACAGGAACAGAACTTTCCAGCTATTGCTATTCACAGAGCAATGACTCAAGAAGAGAGGTATAAAATTTAACAATTGCATAAAAGGCTATAAATACTATTCTTTATTCTATTGTTTTGTGTGTATTGTTTGTGCAGTTAACCCTATGATGAAACTTTGGAATTACCATTTGAAAAATGTATGAAAAATTCCTAGCGGCAATATATTTCTGAGAATTCTATTAATATTAAACTTTTATTTAATCCATTTGGATTATCCTAAACTTTAAAATGTACAACTCGTTTATACACACAGGCTGTCTCGTTACCAATCTTTTAAAGATTTCCAAAAGCGTATATTAGTGGCTACAGATCTGTTTGGCAGAGGAATGGATATTGAAAGAGTTAACATAGTGTTCAACTATGACATGCCCGAAAACTCAGACACTTACTTACACAGGGTATGTATTCCAATTATACTAGAATAAGATATTTTTATAACATTTTAGTTACTTAAAAAAAATTTGAATAAACTGAAAGGCCTCTACCCTATGATGAAAACATGGAATTACCATTTGAGTACCTGTGAAAATAATATTTGCGGCTATTATTATCTGAGGGTTGGAAGTTAACTTTTACATAAGTATACTTCTTTTTTATGGGCTGCATGTGTGAATAGTTTTTGTTTTTATAGGTGGCAAGAGCAGGACGTTTTGGAACTAAAGGCCTGGCTATTACATTTGTGTCAGATGAAAATGATGCAAAAATTTTGAATGAGGTTCAGGAAAGATTTGAAGTGAATATAACAGAATTACCAGATGAAATTGATATTTCTTCTTACAGTAAGTGTATACTTAAGAACATTTTATGCAATAAAAAAAAATTTTTGCTGCACCCTGTATCTCTAGGCTAAAGATGTTTTTTTATTCTAGTCGAAAGGTGTGCTACAGTAAATGGTTTCTTGAAATTGAAGAGAGCAAAATGTTGCTTATTATTTTTCTTTTAACTGACATTTTGATATATGCTATGACTTAATAGATTAAACTTTGTCATGTTTTTCTATCTATGCTGTCAGTTATCTTAAGACATTTTTTTTTTATTGCAGTTGAAGGTCGTTAATTATCCTGAATGATGACAGACGACCCATCAGTTGTTTTTTTAACTTGTAAATATTTGTCATGTTAATTATGTGTCATATTTTAATCATCTTAATTCATTCATTATTAATGTACAATTTGAATAAAAATATTGAAAAGATTTTTTTTTTGTGGATTACTAAGATGTTTAAACTAAAATTCTAGTTATACAAGAAATTAAAAAAAAATCAAATTTATGCATACAAGAAATTGGACCTAAGGATATTTGACTTGAAAGTCTGCATACGGTACTCACCTCTTATTTAACATCAAACACATCTTCATTTAGCATCAGCTAGAGCTTACCAACACTAAACTTCACTTTGCCAATCTTTGTCTGACCCTAATAATGAAAGGGACTAATCCTTGCAGAAGACAGGAACAGGGAGAGATGGTCAACATTTCATATGTAGAAAAGTGGGCCATTAAATTTCAGACCAATGAAAGAGTGCATACACTAATTAAGGGATGTTTACCCGCCAAAACCAGACTGAATATCCTACTGCATAGATCTATGTCAGTGAGGCAATTATGTAACATTGGCCCCTTAACATCTTGATAAATACTGTCAGCTTACACATACTATATTAACTTGTTTTTCCTGTGATTTGGTTGAATTCATTTACATGTAACCAATATCTGTTGGTTTAGATACCGGTACTCGGTATGTTCTATTCCATGCTTTAATTTCTAGTCATAAAAATTTCATGTCTTCAAAAAAGGATTTAGTTCCTTTCCTCTGCTTGTACTCTGTTAAATAGAAATATTCATATTCAGTTTCTGTTTCTATTGGTAAATCTTTGTAAGTTTTGTGCTTCAGTACTTGTAATTTGTTGAAATGTACAGTTCTAAACACATCACATGGTCCTTGCCAAAGAGGTTCTGCTTGACAACTTTTCAGCTAACTTGCTGCCAGTCCACTTTGATGGCCAACCATACTTTGGCTGCATCATAAGTTACTCCCACCAATTTCTTACAAAAAGAGAAAGATCATCCATGAGGGTTGAAACTTCTTTGAATAGGTCTTTGCCAGTGATGGTCCTTTGTAGCAGCTGACTCTACTGTGATTTTAAAATGGTGTTTGTACCGTGCATAAGTACCAAGAGATGAGAGGTGTCAATAGAAAATATTGCTAGATCCAGACAGCAGCATAATTTCAAAGATTAAAAGCCTATAGTAGAAAAATATACCAAGAAAAAAAGGTACACAGCATCTATTTTAAATTTACAGTTGTATTAAACAATACCATTATTTTGTTTTTGTATTTTTTCCAGTCTTAATTAATGGAACAGGTGCTGGTTCAAGATTGAGTTCTTGTCTGAATTCAGTAATATCTTGTTCCCAGTGCTTCTCAAAGTAGACATTCATTAAACACTTTGAGTTGTAAGCAGATCGAATAGCCCAGGGCAGGTAGATGTCAAAGTATTTCCTTCTGTGCCTGAAAGAACACAAATCAATGAGTCACTATTGAAAGTAATATTTCTGTATTTCTCAGTACCATACATTAAGATTGGAGATAAAAAAAACTTATAATTATTTACATTATTTGGAACCAGTACTGGTATAACATTAAAGATAATTTGCATACAAGTGCATTTAACTCTTTCTCTCCTAAAAGACGATACCAACGTTGATTCCACCAGAATGTGGTAAATAATTATGGAAAGAAAGAGTTAAATCTATTCAAATGTGTATCTCTTACTTTGGGCCAAGTCTAATGGGACCAAACAATGCAGCAGATATACACATAGGCAGCCTTGTTTGGATAGCCTCAAACCACTTGACAGCCACTTCTCCCAGCATATTTGGTGGCATGCCCAGTAATGTGTGGACTAGGTCATGGCACTGACGATAGCGCAGCATGACGTACATCAGCTCAGCATCATCTATGAAATTTACAGGTCTCCTGGCATCAGGAGAAAAGCCCTAAAAATAGTACAAATATACAGGTATGTCAAATATTTTCAGGAGATCTTTTAAACAAAATATATTAAAGTGTACCATAGCTAAACTAAAATCAAGTTAAGACAATGCTAAAATCTAGTTGCTATTATCACTGCAAATGTTGTAGTGTTAAGTACGCTAATTGTCAAAAGTGCTTTCTTAAAGTTATTAGAGAATCAATATGACAGTAAATGTAAACAATAAATATGTACATCAAGAAAACAAACTATAGTAGTCCTGTTTTAAATAAATCTATTAAAGAAAAAAATTGCCCCAATGTGGATTAAAATTTGAACAATGTGTACAATCTACTACCGGGTACTATGAAAGCCACTCATTCTTTTATTTATTGGCTACCAGTATTCTTACCACATCCAGAAAACAACTGATTTTTTACTTGTTCTTTTTACCTTGGAAAAACCAAGTACCCTGTACCGGTACCTTTTAATATTTGATGTAATTCAAACTTTCCACAATGCCCATGACTGTGGATTAGGGTGCTCCTGGTATTTTCAGAATTCAAATCTGAAACCTGGATGCTGACAAAAAAACACAGAAAATCTGCTAAATACTTGGGAAAGAAAAATCCTCAGATAAATTTATGGTGCCATACATGAGGAAACCAGATGGAAGACTCGCACCAACCAAGAAACATACCAACTATATGAAGACCCATCCATAGTGACAGAAATAAAAAGAAACAGATTATGTTGGCCAGGTCACCTCGAAAGAATGCCAGAGAACAGAGGAGCAAAGATTGTTCACCAGCAAAAAAGTAGGCGCCCCAAAGGCAGACCACGAGTACAGTGGCATGATGATGTAGAGGCAGATCTATAACAGCTACAAGTCCGGGCATCTCAATGCATAGCACAGGATAGTTCAGAATGTAGAGATGTGTTAAAGCAGGCCAGGGCACTCCATAGACTGTAGCATCACTATGAAGGATGGATGGATGTATTCCTCAAAAGGAAAACATGTAAAGATTGAACACACACTATATATCAAGCAAAAATACAATAATCAATGAGCTAACCATTGTTCTCATAGTGAAAATGAAATAAGAACTTTTTAAATTATGTTCCTTTACTTAATTATTCTTCTATGTAGAAATTAGAAGCTTTGAGATGGCAATGTGTAAATTCACTTCCTGTTTACACTTTTCTTGAGACCTTGACATGTACACCACCTGACACTAGTTTAAGTTATGATATATTATTTTTGTTAAACTATCTAACAGATTTAATTTTCTGTTCTAAAAATTAAGTCAAGTTGTAATTTTTAAAAAATAATTTATTGAAGATTGTCTTGTAAGTATTCAATAAGCAATGACAAGCACCCTGAAACTAAAATAGCATTTTAAGCATTATTTCATTAAAAACATTTGAGATAAAAATAGTGGAAAAATACAGAAAATATGATAGGATCTGACAAGCACATGAATCTCAAACTCCAAAGAAAGTGTGTGGGTGTAATAGGATAAGTTAAAAAAGCTTTCAGATAAGTTCATTGGCAGATTGAAAGCAATGAGATTTATTCTTAAATGATTTCATTTCATTGGCTTTTACAAAGCAAAAGAATTTTTGTTTATTGGTTTACTGGAACAGACAGGGCAAAAAGTAGAATATTTTTAAAAGACTAACGGGTATACGGAGAACTGCCTTATCTGGACAGT